CAGCAGGGCCAGCAGGGACAGCAGCCGCGAGGCATCCCGGTCCCCGCTGGGCGTGGTGGCGGCGGCGGAAACCGTGGCAGAGGAGGTGTGTACCAAGCCGGCCCAGGCCGCGGCGGTCAAGGACAGCGCGGGCGGGGCGGATTTGGTCGTGGCGGTGCTGGCGGTGGTGGTGGCGGTGGTGGGCTGAACCCTGGTGCTGGGGACTTTACGCCCACCGGCGGTGCCGGGAACAAGAGGCCTAGGGATGGGGCCGACGGGCCTGGGGATGGTGGGGGTAGAGGGGGGAAGAGAGCTCGGGGTGGCGGGTGATCGATCGATCACCTATCGATCGCTAGCTGGGGTTGGTGGGTTGGTGGGTGAAGAAGGGTGGTGATGGCTGGCTATGTTGATGATGGGAGCTGGTATGAGTGGGATATCTTGGTCTTTTTGCCTAGGAATGGAACGGGAGATACCAGAGCATCGAAGGCGACGTGGGCTAAGGAGATGGAACAAGGAGGGGATGAAAAGGCAGCGGGGGGAAAAGACTGCTACAATTGCATGAGCTCCTTTCTCTCTCTTTTCTCTCTATCGCTTTGTATTATTTTATCTTGCTTGTTCTCTTGCATGGACAGGGCATGGCTCATTTGTTTGCGAGGAGCGAGGTGGGAAGAAGGGAATGGACACGTTTTTTCGGCTGGCTGGGTTGTCTTTTGGAGTTTAAGGGAATGGTAATACATGTGGACATTGAGCATTACTCGGGTTGAAACAAGTGAATGTGGTGCTGTCGCTGTCCCTAGAGTTGTTGTCATCTTGCCGTGGTGTTGTCACCGTGTGGTCTTCAAAGCAGAGTGACGCCATATACATCGCCAACGGGTGCTCAGTCATCCTCCCGTTTCCTAAGTCGGTCTCTCATCTAATACATACTCCTGCGAGAGGCGACCACGGCTGTCTCGTCGCTCTCTGTTCTGTGACAAACAATCCCACTCGACGCCTCAACAGCAGCTCCCAGTCTACACAGCACCGCCGAATTCTTGTTCACAACGCTGCGGGCTACCCTGCCCGCTGTCTGATGACGAAACTGAGGCCTCCTTGAAGCTTCTCTGCATGAACATTACTGATATTCATAGCTCCCAGGCGAGCCTGCTCCTGCGGGTCTGCATGGATATCCTCGTGGGTCGTTTTGAGCCCCTCCCACAGGCGTGTATGCGAAGGAACGGGACTGGCGCATTAGCTCAAGGGTCAGGAACAAGTAACCGTCTGACGCCGGTGCGACGCAGGGATGAAGCACCCGTAGGGCTGACTGCTAGGCGGATCATCTCGGCAGTAGTGAAGGGTGCGGTTGGCTTCCTCGAGGGAGGTAGTTGAAACTGTTGAAACCAAGATGACAGCCCCACGCGGATCGATCTCCACGAGACTGGGTGAACATCAACTTCCATGATCAAACTTGACCGCGAAGCAAGAACCCGCAGCCGGTCCGGAGCCCAAAACAAAGCCGCCGGATACGGAGCAGGGCAATCTCTTTAAAACTCCGATGGAGAATTTGGAAGGAAGGTGAGAGAGCCGCGCTCAGACTAACTTGGAAGGGAAAAAGGAGGTGATGGAATGGAAGTTAATTTAATTCGAAGCCAATGGTACGGCAGAAGGTAAGTGCCGCTTTGACAGGATTCCAAAACCATGATATCAACTTGCTCCCAGTCTCGTGTTTGAAGAAGCGAACCTGGAAGCATTGGAGCCGTTGAGAGGCTCGCTCGCACTTGATCGAACCCGATTAGGAAGGAATTTGGGTGGAGCGAGTGAACCAATGACGGTTATCCATTGGCGACAAGGATTCATCCAGCGGCCGTTGCGTTCATTCCTCCCCGTCTCGTCTCTCACCGAACGAGGAAGGCTCGAGGAAGGTTGAGCAAGGATTTACTTCAGACGACAAACGCCCGATCCCGTGCAAGGCAGCAGTTTTGTTGGGACCCAAGCTCCGGCCGAAGGATGGATCTGGGGAAGGAAAGAAACCGTCGGTTGTCGCTCCTGCCGGTGGCTCTGGCAGCGCCTCTGCCGTTGAAGAGTGAGCCACAGGCACAGGGGGGTTGAGTGTCCGTGGGTTCCTTCCCGCCAAGTCGCCGATATCTCATCCGGACCCGACCGCTCTGTGGGGTCCGGGGTCTCGGTCCCCAACGAGCCCCCCCGGCACCAACTCACAACACCAAGATCGGCACGGCCACGATCGTGCACTTGATCACAGCCCACAACCAACAGAAGCAACACAAATCACCAACACCAACAAGCCAACTGCACTATTCTGCTGCAAGGTTAGCGTTTTGGCCGCCACTCAAGCACATTCAGCCCCACCTTAGCTCTGTTTCACTTCCCAACACCGGATTCTGTACAAATTACACACAGACACCCCCTTCAATATCCCCGGACCGGAGTCTTGGGGGCCGTGACACGGAATTGCAGTAGAAACCCCATGGAAGCAACAGTGGTAACGCACAAGGCCTTGGCTTTCAGCCCCCACCCACCAATTGCCAAAAAAATGAACGCCCGTTACATGGCAACGTTGATCCCCAAATGCACAGCGCTTGTGTTCGTTCCCCTTGCCCGTTCCAAATTGATGTCTGCACCAGCTGCTTAAAATACACGGAGGGGGAAAGGACCTCATCCAAATAAAGAAGACACCAAGCGCAATCAATTTCGCCACGGCTATGTAAAAATATACTCTTCTCTCCGACCTCCGTCGGAGACCTTCACCTGTCCGACGTTACGTCGTCGCAGGATAGAACCGAACGCCCCTTTTGCGCCTTCAGGTCGGCGATGTGACTAGCATCGGTGACGAGATCAAACACGGCCCCCGCCCGTGTGCCGTCCGGCAGAGCCATGTCTTTGGACAGACGAAACCCGCAGTGGACTTCGTAATGAAGCGCTAGCTCTGCATCGGCCCAGACCTCGCCTCCACCCCCTCACCGTACCAAAGAAGCCACCCTCCACCTCCTTGGGCTTCGCCGTCCTCCGACATAGCACCATCGTCCCTGGTAGGCCAACCTAACCGCCGCAGACCCCGACGAAATGGAACGACCGAAATGAACCCGCCCTCCAAGCTCAAGCACGGCACTGCATCTTCCACAGCTGTGCACTCGGCGTCGTGCGACCTTCCCAGAGTCGACGGCCGCGCAATGCTGTTGCCCTTTCCACGCCGCGGCGGCGCACGGCAGATCGCGACGGCGACACGTGGAGTGATCGCGGTGCACGCAGCCTTAGCCGTACCCAGTCGGAGGGAAAAACCACACACACACACACACACACCCAAGACACACGCGTGCACTCACCCAAAACCCGTACGCCGTAGACCGGCGCAAGCGCACCGCACCAAACCCCCATCCTCGCCTCCCCAAACAGCAGCCCCCGAGTAAAACAGCCGCCGTGCGACTTCGGCGACAGCGAGCGAAGCCGTGACCCCGTAAAATGCAGAGTGTGTGTGCGTCAAGTGCCGCCGGAGCCGACCGAGCGCGCGCACAACAAGCCCGCCCAGGCCAGTTTCGGCGCATGTGTACTTACTTACCCCCCCTTCTCTCCTCCCTAGTGCATAGGCGCTACGCATGCAAAGTGTCGGAGCAGTGACTCCTTCGCCGGCCTCACGGCGGAAGAGGTGCGGATTGCGGATCCTAACCCACTCTCGACCCCGAGGTCTCTCTCCGCAGCTTCCATGGCACCAGAGGTGGGCGCAGCAAAGGCGGAGGATCCACCGAGGTAGAAGAAGTCAGCGGGTATGAATAAGAGCCGCGAAACGAAACGAAACAAAAACCTCTCTACCTCGTGCACCCACCCCACCGTCTCGGACTACCCAGCGGCGTAGTCAGGAGAAACTCGACTAGGCATGTACAAAGTAAGACAAAACGAAACAAGACATTTTGCGTTGGCGCGGCACGGCAGTCAAGCGGGAACTAGAGAAACAGAGTGGGCAAAAACAAACTACCTATGTATACTAGTAAAAAAAAAAAAAGAGGGGAGCGGCCCTGATTTCGGGCCTCGAGTGAGATCAAGGGAGCGGTTGGTGTTGCCTAAACAGGAAGCACAGCAACGGTGGGTTTGGCGATCAACAAACCTGGAAAAGCCGGCGGCCAAGCTTCCATCGACCGAAAGGCGAAACGTCATTGTTGTTTGGAGCCTTTTCCCCCCTCCCTCAGCCCTATTGCTGACAGCCCGCGCTAGCGGCCGAGAAGGGGCAAACGAAGGCGACTTGTCAGATCTTTATCGCGCTCGGGTCTTCCAACTGCTTCTTCCACGCGCGCCAAGCGGGATGGTGGTGAGATTTTCGGCGGTGGGGAAAGGAGGGGCAAATCGGACCGAGTATAGGGCTGAAGAATGATGGATGGGGAAAGAACGACGCAGGGTGTGATCGATGATGATGAAGCATGATGAGAATTATGAGAATCCTCCTGGCAATGAATCATCGAGTTCGTGAGAGCGACGGACTATCTATCTGGTGTAACTAAGTTGCGAGTAAACAAAATGCCATGTGTACCAAATAAACTAAGTAAGTCGTGAGTGAACAATACGACAAGAAACCTTGCAAAACCATGGCACTGAAAAGACATTGTAAACGTGATCGTTAGATCTTTGCTTCCTACATCCTTTAAAGAAGACTGGATACAAAATAAAGCCCTGTCCTGGAGCCTGTAGGTTCTCTTCTCCGGGTCGAGCACTTCGACCGTGGCTAGAAAAGACTCGCTGAAAACCCGTACAATGTGCGCCGTCGACGCCTCCAAAACCCAAAACCGACAAAATACATAAGGCTGCCTCCCGACGTGTATAGATGCTTCCCCCGTCCCGTTCCCCAGCCCGTGAAAATGCCTTTCGTGTCCCGTCATGGGGTTACCCAGCGTGAGCCGGTCGTGTCTCCCGGGAGAAATAACAAATGGTAGTAGTAGCGGTGATGGCATTAGATGCACCGCAGTAAAACGTATATTGCCTTGCCAGCGGCAGTAGAATCCAACAAATCTCTCATATCATATACGTCCCGATCCCCTCCTTCACGCGTGCTGGACCAGGCCGGGCGAGCCCGGCATGGAGAGCGGGGTGGTCGGGTAGGCGTCGTAGCTCCCCGAGTCCGAGCAGGTGGTGGAGTGATCATAGGAATGTGAGAGAGGCGGAGTCTGTTTATCCCGAGGGATCGCCGATCAGCAACGAGCTCGACCATGGGGGAGAGAAAAAGACGCGGGTTGGCGCGCCGATGAGGAGGAGGCACTCACATGCGGCATCTGGTCGTACGGCGAAGGGTGCGCGGCGCTCATGTCGATCCCCGGCAGCGGGTAGCCGTTGAAGCTCATGTAGGACATGGGCTCCTCGGCGGGCGCGCCCGGGTAGGGCGCCGCCTCGCGCTTGATGGCGTCGCTGAAGTGCGTCATGGACGGCAGCGTCACGGGCACCGGCGGCGGCGAGAGGTACTCCGGATACGAGTCGGTCGGCATGGGCCGGTAGCCCTGCACGGGGGCTCCGTACGGCGGCATGATCATCTCCTCGGGAGGCGGGGGATATGTCGAGTAGGCGAACATGGGCGGGGTGTGCGACCGCTCGCGCTCGTCGTAGGAATGGGCGAAGAGGTACTCGTCGTCATGGTGCATGGGAGGTGTGTATTGCCCTTGCTGCATCGCCGGCTTGACCTGGGCGGGTGGTGATTGCTTGTGCGCCTTGGGTGCCTGTGTGCGCTTCGTCTTGGCCGGCGGGCTCGGCTTCTCGTTGCCGGACGACGAGGCATCGTCCGAGGTCCCCGCGCGCCTCTCGAGCTCCTCCAGCCTCTTCTTGAGCTTCTTGCCTGTTGCGAGAACGTTTAGCTACCAGTACACTCGGCTTCCCAGCTGCCTGCGCCCCGGAATATTGTTGCAGTTGTACGTACGGTAGTTGCGCTGGGCAATGCGGTTCTGTATCCTCCTGCGCTCAGCAAGATCTGAGATCTTGGTCCAGTCCTCGTCGGGGTTGGCGGAACTGCTGAAGGCGCTGCTAGTGCTGTGGTTGGAATAGTGTCTTGTAGGCGCGGGAGCTGGTTGCGCCGCGTAGGCATATGTGTGTTGCGACATGGTAAACATGGTGGCCTTGAGCTGCCTTTCTTGCCTGGCTGCTGTGTAAGATGGTTGTGGAGAAGAGATGTAGGCGGCAACACAAAAGATGAGGTGAGAACCAAAATCACGGATAGTAGGTAGAGGGTGGTGAGGTAGAATATAAGGTCTTCGGTTGTCAAGAGCTCCTTCAAGTCCGAGTGGGATCTTCCTTGGTGGCAGGATAGCTTCACAGCACGTTTGGAAAGATGGGAAGGCTCCAGGATTAAATATTACGAAGCCAGTTCCTTCGGCCGTCGGGGTGCGAGGCTTGCTTCGAACCCACATGGCGGCGCTGCTGGGGGTCGAGGTACCTTGATTCCGGCCCCCCCCCTGTCGATTCGATTGCGGTCGCCCACACCACAACCCAAGGGCCTGGCAGGGGGTGGTTCATCGAGTCCTCGAAACCGCGTCCGGCAATAAACTGGCAGGGATGTTGGGGATCCCACCCCCCCGGGGACGGAGTACATCTGTACCAGGGTACATCTCGCCGCTATCCTGCAGCCTGGCCTGAGGTACCCGCTACGGTGCCGCGACAGGGGTGGCCGTCCGGGGTGGAGGTTTCCTCCCTCTCTCTCTCTGGGCGTATGCACGGAACCTGCGAGCTGGAGTGGTGCCAAGCGGGGGACGGCGCTGTCAATTTTTGGGCATTGGCACTCGCATGGAAGTCACTGACACCACCAACTGCTCTGCCCGCTGCTGTGTGTCGTGGCAGCCAGGGCTCTCTGTTCGCCCTCCGCGCGTCTCGTCAATGGCTGAGACGAGCATTGTCCTAAATAGGGAAACAGTTAGCTAGTTTCTGCCGTTCTATCTCGATTGTGGCTGGAGTAACTAGGTAGAGACGAGAAAACATGGCGCATTTCTCTCTACCCTTGCTGGTGTAAAGGAAAAACGAGAAAAGAAAACGGAGGGCGTATGTTGTATAGTTACATGGCGATGGGGTTGTCATTGCACTCACTCTGGTACCAGGACCACTCACCAGCCGTGGGTGCATCCCGGAATCGCAACAACGTGCGTGGTCCATTTTACGAGATGGCGCTGCGTAACTGCGCGCTGCTGCGTACTTGCTGCGGAGATAGGTACGAGAGGTACTTGCGGAGACGGAGCTCTGGAGGAGGGTGGAAAACGGAGGGGAACCGACTTCCAGGCAACCACTCGGACTGCCTGATGAGGTAAAATTAGCCCAGATGGCTTATTTTGCCCACTTGAAGCGCCCACGCTAAAACAGCAGGGGTCCTTCAGATTAAAGAGTGTGCGTTTTGCCCCGCCTGGCGGCGGTGTGTCTTGTTCTGCAACGTGATTGGACAGAGACCCGGTCCGCACATACCCCGGATCATTTTCTTGGTGCCCGTAGGGCTGCGGTTGTGATTCCCGGGCGCCCGATATTCCCCTTCTCAGTCAAGCCCGTGGGGAGAAAGCTCACCAGGATTCTCTGAGCCACAAAAACAACAACAACTCCAACTCCAACCCCATGACGTGGGAGTCGCTGTTCTGTATCGTAGATGCTCACAGGGCTCAAGGGTTCAAGTTTTCTTTTCCCCTGGCGGCGCTCGTTTCACCAAAAAGGTCTCGGTCGTATGACGAACCACCAGGTCTGCGGCAAGGACCGGCAGGTTGGCGGGTCTCGGCAGGAAGCCGAGTGTTGGTGTGGATCGAGATGCCCGAGTGGAGGTAATCCATCTCCAAACAACAACACCCTTGCGCAGACCCGGGGCCGGCCTCCACAGTCCATGACACTGCACAAGAGTTTCGCCGACGTCAAGAGACGAGCTCGCCGTCCCCCCGGAGCCATGGCTTGCAGGTCTGCATCGGGCTCCTCGGGACACGGGTCCCGGGTCTTGCCTGGCTCCCTGGCTTCGAGAACAAATCTTGCTGTCAAAAGAGATTTGTTGGGGTTCTCGGGCTTGGTTGCCGGCCGTGCACCCCAATCACAGCTCCCGTCGATCCTCGTTTGCTGATAGCGTTGCTTGGTGCTGTCCTTTGCTCATTTTGCAGGGCTTGATTTGGGTCCAAGGCAGTTCGCTCACGCCTTCAGCAAACAATGCAGAATTCAAATCCGGTTGTGCTATAGGTATTTTGGTTGTTTCCATAATTGAAGTCCTGAGTGGAAGCTTGCCGCGAAGATGCAGCAGTCGCGCTCTTTCTTGAGCAAGACCTCGAATAGGCATGGTCTAGAGCAAGACGAGAGCAATATCGGCAACTCTGGTTGGCCCGTTCCCCGACTTGCAGGGCCTTGAAATAAGGTTTTTCCGTTGGTGTCTTGGCATCGCGGCTGCCCTCGCCATCAGGCCCAGCACTAAGATCGGCGGAGCCAGCCCCGATGTGCAGAATTTTGTTGCCTATTTGCAAGAGGCTCCATCTTTCCTCCTCCAAGCACTGCCGCCGATTCCATTCGGAGTTCATCCGTTCCGCCTCGAACTGAGGGCCCGGGGCCCGCTAATTCTTCATCGCCTAATTCTGAAAGGAGAGGCTTTTAGCGAAAGGTATTTGGTCAACTTTCGCCTGCCTTTCTCGTCCAAGTTCGGGCACTCGCTAAATCGTGGGGGTCGTTGAAATAACTCTTGTGGGAGAAACTGTGCGAACGAGAAGAGAGCCAGTTGATCCTTTTGCCCTGCGCCTCTACCAACTCGACCAACTACAATACTGACACGACAAAACAATCAAAATGGATTGATTGATTACTGATTCCAAAAGGCACAGGAGGCTTCCGCCACTATCAATCATACCGAACATCATGGCACCATGGGCAGTTTCGGGCTCCGCTAAACAACGGCTCCATCCAATGAAGCTGGAGTTCTCGTAACCCTCCGGGCGGCGCCGGCTCCTATGACCTGGACTCGCTGGACCGCATAACCCTGTCTTCCCTGACTCCACCAACCCTTGAGCGTTACCCGCTCGTTGACGAAACTCATGCCCCATCCGGTACCTCGCCCGGACCCCGGCCAGACACTGTCCCGCCGCGACTCGAAGGGGGGTTCATTTGCGTGCGTTTGAGTTACAGGTAGCAAGTATCCAGAACAGGAATTTCCATGTGATGCTCGATATAGCATCACATCGCCCAAGCCTGAGTTTCCAAGTCCATTCCACGGCCCACGTTGCCATAACGGCGCGGCGAAATCACGGTTATCGGCTTTCAGCCACCCGTGTGGCTTTGTGGATGGAGGTTAGGTTGTCCTCGAAGCCCTGGGCGCAGCTCTTTGGGATCCGGCAGACTGGCTTCCGAACTACCCAAGCCACCGGACCAGGATCACGAGGCTCCCAGCTGAACAAAACGACGGGAGAAGCTGGGCTCACAAAACTGCAAGCGTTTGGAGACGGCCGGCCTCAAACCCGGGCCTCATGCAGTTTTCCGTTCAGCGATGCGCTCCGGTAGGCCACGAGGTGGGCGTGACCAAGTGTTTCCACTCACTTGGAACGAATCGCCTCGTAGGGCTGCTGGTGCAACTCGGCGTCGTTGTTGACATGGCATATTTTGCGTGCGCTGCTTTAAGGTGCTGACCGAACCACGCCTCCCCCTTCTCCTGGGCCTCGAGCCACCAACCAGCTGCTCGACAGGGGAAACGGAGCCACTTCGTTGCAGGTACCTACTCGGTGATTTCACCCCTTTTCATCGAATCGTTGATCAGCGTCCGCGTCCACTGCGGTTCAACCAAACCCACCCCTCGAGTCGCTCAAAGCAGACCCGAAGGATGCTCACGGGCATACCGTGTAATCTCGAAAGATTTAGCCCACAAGAGACGAGTGGACCGACAGCCGTTGAAAGGCCCAGAGGCCGTTTATGCTCAAACGGCCACTACCCGACTGATGTCAGAAGTTTACTTCGACCGGGCCGCTCGACGGGGGTGCTGCGACAACGCAGATTTGTCTCGCTAGCCACCGACGTTCACTGGCCTTCTTCTGCGTGTCTCGCCGTGTGAGCGCAGCCGAGCGAATGACAGCGCGCCAAGCTCGGCTAAGAGCCCACAACCCCCAAGGGGAAGGATTCCATCGTTGCATCTGCCATCGGCGGTTTGCCCCAGCACAGCGTCATTCTTCGATATGAGCAAGCCAGCTCGCAGGGGTTCGGGGACAAGGCTACTCCAGAACAAGGCAAGATTTGTCGTCGAATTTGTGAGTTTGTGGGTTCCCACGGTTCCCAAAGGCGCGCGCGCGCGCGACTGCGCAGCCACACTTTGAACGTTGCCCCGATTAGGCAATTAGACAACATGCATCTCCCTGGATTCCTCGCAAGCTGGGGCTCTTCCAAAGTTCTTCCCCTTTCCAAGGGACTTCCTGGTCGGATGGGGCGGGCCCCATAACGGCTTTGTGCTTAGTTATGAGTCCGGCGATCGCGGGCCGTTGAGACGGGCGGTTTTTTTTGAGCTTTTTTTATGGAGTTGTCAAGGTTTGTCACTTAGTTATGGAGTTTGCGGCCGACCGGTCAGCGACCAATGATGATGGTGTTTACTTGGCACGATTTCGAAACATGTTTCCAAACGACGTTGTCGGAATTTCTTGCTCGGACTTGGCTCACTCACCTTTTACATTTCACTAAGTTTTTCGTCCCATGGTACGAGTAGAGGGACTGAAGCATAATGGTGAAACACCACCATGGAAGCGACCTCCATAAACCAGCCTGGGGGCGTCTATATTCTCGAAGGATGTACATACATCCATACAGGACCACACAACGGCGTAGCATGTATGTAAGTTGCAGGTCAGGCTATAACTGTGTCTATACTTCCTTGCCACAATACCAGGCCTCAGTTTCAGGTGAACATTCTAATTAACCTTTCGCTCTATGTAACATTGGCCGCGCCGCCTCCTCGGGCCAGATGAGATGGGGATATGCAGGACCACGGCGAGGCCAAGAAACATGACACCGCTTTCGGGTGCTAATCTACGGAGTAGTGTAGAGCTTCTCCCAAAGAACCACTCCTCTTGTAACTCAGGGACTCCTATCTCTGGATGTACAGATTACATAGGGATCTTCCCACGGGAAAGTTCGTGATGAACCCTGCTCCGGCCGGGCCACGTGAAGGTTTCGGGATGCCCGGCACGGCTGGTGATCTGCACAGCCTGGACCGGACGCGAATGCCTGGGCCGTCCAAGGGTACCACCTTTTGCCGAAAGCGGCATGTTCGAGCGCTGAGTCGGCGAGCGAAACTATCAAGAGAGCGAGGGAATCATCAGATAGTTGGCGGCGGTTGGCCAGGAAGCGACCAAGATACGCGGCGGTATCTGTGGCAGTGTGGACAATGGTGGGGATGGTGGTGATGATGGTGGTGGTGGTGACGGTCATGATTCCTCATCGCAATGCACCCACCCCCCGGCGACTGCGGATGGGCTCATTATGCCCCTATCTCCCGAGCTCTCGGGTGCAGCACACCCGGAGGCACGGCACTGGGAAAACAAAGTCCCCTCCCCCTGGGGTCGACCCGAGCAAATTTCCAGATGTTGGGGAAGGTGCTGACTGGACTGGGGGAAACAGTTTGTGTCGCTCCGGGTGAGACCGAGGCCGTGGGACTGGCGTGTGGGTGTGGTTTGATCAGTAAGCATTTGGCAGGGGAGGGGAGGTAAACTGGTGCTGGTTATTTCCGATGAGAGATGTCTCGGAATGGGGGGAGAAAACGGTATCAACAGAGGCTATCAACATCGGGAAGGTCGGAGAAGTCTCCGAATTGGTCAGCAAGCATGGGCGGCGATAAGTGAGGAGGGATGAAGAACTGTGATGGTGATGGCACCTTGTTTGTTGTCTGGGAGAGCTCTGGAGTGGTCTGAGGAGCCTTCTCGGAGACTTTCGCTCGAGCCCACACTTGGGTGAATGACAAATGGCAATCATGCAAATGCAACGGCAACGGCAATGTACATATCCTTCCCTTCCCGTCCCAGTTCCCTAACCCCGGGTCCGGAAGCTAGCGCGGAGGTCCAAAGATGCGGGGATCAAAGTCCGTCAACAAACGCACATGTCACCGTCGCGGGGACCTGTCAGGGGCAGGGGTATATTCGGGTACCACAGGGTCAACGCCATGGTCCTGACTCGCAAGACCCCCTGGGACTGGTCGCTCGTAAAATTGAGGGTATGCTGCCGTGGCTTCCCAGGAAAATGTCGTGCTGGCCATGTTCCGTTGAGGTCAGGGTTATGCGGTGGCTGGCTTTGCAGACACTGGACGATTTGCTGGGAGCTTTTCCGGGGCTGCGACACACTGAGCCACCGGACACCGAGCTGAGTTTCAGGCACCGACTTTTCGATGCCGCCAGTGGCGTTGGACGGTTCGGGGATCTCGTTTGTTGATACCCAAAACGGCCTACAATCTTGGGCCCCTTGGTTCAACCTGTCTTCCTCTCGATTACATTCCCAAAATATAGCAAAGATATCCACTGCGCCGAATGAAATCATAGGTTATCCATACGCCCATATCAACACAAACTCAAGGGTGTGGCAGATGACGGCGAATCCTGGCGGCGCCGTTGAGAGAGAAACTTGGGCGGGA